GAATTTAATGCAGTTTATGTATCAGTTTTTTTTCCTTGAGTACACCAAATTCTTATTTGTTTTTCCAAAGAGTATTTTATAAGTGAAATGGTTTATTAATATGTACACTGGGTGAACAAAAATATCTCCAAAGTAAAACAACTATAATTTTGCTGTTTTTAGAAGAAAACAGGAAGGGAACCTATCAGAATTATTTTCTTGGGGTGAGGCTGGGGCAGCGGGTTTACCTTTGCCTGTTGTTAAGTTTGAAATTCTGAGAATCAGATGTAAAAATGGAGCCATACTTTTAACTGTAGTCTATGCTGAAGGTGTTTGTTTATAAAGGAAAAAATAGATAAGAATTCATAGATCCCATAAAAATTAAGGAGTACCATGCGAACAAATGATGTCAGTTGTTTTCTTAAGGACATGTACAAGGATGTTAATTTACTTTGTATGCAGTTGGCTTCATGGCCATCAGTTATTAAGCCTCTCAGTTCATTTGCTTTTCAGTAATGTGTATCTTGTGATATTTCATCATAGATCTATGGTGGTACCTTTTCATGTGCAAATGTAGTCACTTATTTTGCCTTCCATTTTCACATTCTAGAATGTTTCAAAGTTTGGTTATGTTTATTAATGGATAATTTTCTATTTCAGCATGTAAATCAAAACAGGCTAATAATACACAACTCTGCAAGTAGTTTTCAAAAACCAATAATCCTTTAGGAATTGAACTTACTAAAATGGTTAGCATCATTTATTTTTTTCCTGAGCCAGTCTTTCCAAATCATACCTACTTCCTATTCTTGGGAGGGCAAAACTGTACACCTCAAGTAATATACCTCTCTCCTCAATATTCTACTCTCCTCACCACACCCCAATGTAGTGAAAACAGGAATAGAAAAGTAAGACCAAATACATTTTTTTTTTAAGATATATTTATTCATTTTTGGAGAGAGTGTGAGCAGGGAGAGGGGCAAAGGGAGAGAGAGAGAATCTCTAGCAGAACCGCTGAGTGCGGAGCCCAACACAGGGCTCAATCCCACAACCCCCAGATCATGACCTGACGAGTCAGAGTCAGACACTTGACCAACTGAGCCACCCAGGTTCCCCCAAATACATTTATTTTAGCTCCACCTCAAATATGTATCTTACCTGTGCGTGACTTCAGGGCAGTGGATAAGAATCCTTTTTTTATCCTAACACAAATATCTAGTAAGTGTGCTATGCAGTTAGGGTATACTCCCTTGAGTAATAATGGGGGAGGGAGGGAGGGAATTGGAGGTCACGTGTGTGTGTGTGTATGTGTATGAAAGAGATGGCATTAATCGGTGGTGTTCATATATTTAACAGTTGTTTTCTGAGCACCTGCAAGTTCAGGGCCTAGGATGTGAGAATGCAAAGGTGACTCGCATCCATATCCCTCCAACAAGAAGCTTTCAGTCTCAGGGGAGGTAACATCATGTATATGCATCATGATAATGCAAGGTAGAAAATGGAAGGTATTATGAGGGAAGCACAGTTAGCATTTTATGGAAGGGTAGAGGGTGATTTCTGGCAGCTGGACCACTTGAATTGGCCCTTGAATGATGGATAAGAATCAGATGGTTGGGGTTCTTGGATGGGGGTTGAGAAGGCAATTTAGATATGAGAAACAGCAAATGATGAGTTAACTTGGCCAAATCAAAGGACCTATAAAGGAATTAGTGAAAAAGAGGGTAGATACCACATAAGAAAGGCTAAGATAAAAGTGACACTTAACATTAGCATCTGTTATTCTGTATTCTGATTTTTTTAAAGATTTATTTAGAGAGGGGAGGTGGGAGGGGCAGAGGGAGAGAATCCCAAGTAGACCCCCAGCTGAGCATGGAGTCCCATGCCGTGCTCCATCCTACGACCCTGAGATCATGGCCTGAGCCGAAACCAAGAGTGGTACACTCAATCGACCGAGCCACCCAGGCGCCCCTGTATTCTGATTCGTGATTTAAAAATCAAAATTTCAAGGCCTGTGCAAGAAATGAGATCTGAATTAATGGTGACTGTTGGAGCTGTGATTTGAGAAAGCTATGAGCTGTCATAAGTTAAATTTTTCTATAGAAAATATCCGTAACTGGTATTTGGTTTCAAAGAATTCTTGGACCAAAAAAGGTTAGGCTCTGCTACCCTATTTTTTTGCATGCCTTGCACATAAGTATATATACCATGAATGTTTGTTGACTTGAATATTTGAATATCTTAGATTATGTATGACTGTAAAAATGGGAACAAGAGTTGTAATACATGGGAGTTCATGGAATATCATCAGTATCTGAAAATTCTTTCATTGGGCTTCCTCACTCTTAAAGGTTTTTTTTGGTTTTTGTTTTGTTTTAGTTTGACAGAGAGAGAGATAGTGAGAGAGGGGACACAAGCAGGGGGAGTGGGAGAGGGAGAAGCAGGCTCCCCGCAGAGCAGGGAGCCCGACGCAGGACTCGATCCTAGGACCCTGGGATCATGACCCGAGCCGAAGGCAGACACTTAATGACTGAGGCACCCAGGCGCCCCTGGGCTTCCTCATTCTTTTTTTTTTTAAGATTTTATTTATTTATTTGACAGAGAGACACAGGACACAGTGAGAGAGAGAGAGAGAACACAAGCAGAGTAAGTGGGAGAGAGAGAAACAGGCTCCCCGCCGAGCAGGGAGCCCGACGTGGGGCTGGATCCCAGGACACTGGGGTCATGAGCTGAGCTGAAGGCAGACGCTTAATGACTGAGCCACCCAGGCGCCCCTGGGCTTCCTCATTCTTAAATGGATTTTGCCATTTAAGTATGTCTATAGGATCCAGCTCTTTGAGGCATTTAATATATCCTTCCCATTTTTTATATTTGTTTATTGCTTTTCTCTAGGGGAAAAAGGTGGATGGCTCTGTAAATGCTTATGCCATAAATGTGTCTCAGAAGAGGAAGTACAGGTATGCTTAGCCCCCATTATTATGTTTGAACTAATGATATAAATTAGGTGCTTGGGAAAGTATTTATTTATGAGATAGTTGTGTTTATAGGAAATGTAGCAGTTTCCATATAGTCCCTTGTCTTGATATTCTTTGCTTATATTCTGGTGTGTTAAAATAATTTCCAGTTTACATGTGAACCACTAACTATTACAGAGAAGGCTTCAATCTTTTAAAGCTCAACATTTTTCTTTCTTCAGAACAGCATAATCTCAAATCTTTAGACTTTAATTTCATTATAATTATAGGTTTAAATTAGAGCCATTCTGTGAGTGATTGTGTAAGGATTTCAACTGTAAATATATATTTGTTAAATATAATAAGTATAAGTATATTAAGGCATATTTTATTAATACCACAGGAAAAAAACAATCCATACCTGAAATCTCACTGAATTCCTAATGAATTGAAAAGTCAAGACATCTTCAAACATGCCTTTCTCTCAACCTTTACCACTGATAAAAGACTAATATTCCAATTAACTTAGAATATGTATAATTTGATCTGAGAATTCTGTGAGTTAAGGTGAGGACCAGAATCATCTTTAATGGTCCTTTGTAAAATTATTTTCAGAGAAAGTCTTAATGAGGAGAACTAGTACAATATGCAGTTGGATTTACTTGATGGGTACCTATTTTGGAGCTCTTCTCTATTTCCTTATTGTTACCTGTAAATATGGACTTTCAGCTTTTTTTTTTTTAAGTCTGTAGAATCTTTCCAAATAATTTTGAAAGTATATCTCCATACTTCTCTTTGGATTTCAAAGAAATCTGAAAGGCTTTAGGTTATTTTGAAAGTGAAATAATATCCTTAATAAGTGTGCATTAAATAACCATGAATACTTTTTACCCTAGACCTTGCCAATTTAAAGATGATTTATATTATTATTATTATTATTTTAAAGAGGAGTCCGGAATTTTTTTTTAATAAACAATGAGTTTTCTCTTCTCATCATAGGCAATATATGAATCGAAAAGGCGGATTCAACAGACCTTTGGATTTCATTGCATGAGAATTGAAATGTTAAAGAATGATTTTTTTTCCCTTACCTTGTTCAGAAGAGTGGATTTTGTATTTCATATTTAATATGCATAAAAAACAGAATCACAGTCCTTCCTCCTTGTAAAGTAAGAAAATTTTATTTATGATGTGTGCAGTTCACTTACCCTGACTCACAAAAAGGAAAGTTAAATACTGCATTTTTTTCTTTTAGGAAATATCATTTGGGGCAATCATCAGCCCTATTTTTTGGTTCTTATTGTTGTGGAAGCTGTATATGTTTTCTTCTTGGATGCTTGTTAGGACTTTTTAAAACACATAAAAGTAATTTGGATGTAAGTTTCTCAAATAAAGCAGTATTTCTACCCTTTTGTATTTGATAAATATTTGTATTGCTATGTAAAATTGTCCCCCTACACAGTTTTTAGATTTAGATTTCATTTGTAATTTACAAATAACTGGATTTTTGTATCTTCTGTGGTTTTTTCCCCCAATTATTTCCTCCATTTATTGTTTTTCTTCATTTTAAAAGCAATATATGCTTATTATATAAAAACTTGGGAGAAATCAAAAAGTAAAAAGAAAAGCCAAAAACCACCTATAATCTACCCCCAGAAACAATCAATATTTTGGTATACGTCTTTCCAGACTCCTATGATGTATATTTATTGCTCCCACCCATTATATCAGAATTTATATGCTGTTCTCTTTTGCTAATCTTTTTTCTCCCAGGTACTGTGAACAGTTTTTAATACACGTACATGTTATTTAGAAATTTAACTTTTAGTTAAGTTTAGCTACTTGGTGTACCATAATTTATTAACTAGTCTTTTATGAGCAAACTTTGGCTTCCCTCCCATGACTTGCTGTTTTAATTAAAACTGTGAATAGTATCCGTGTTACATATATCTTTTTGTACTTTTTTTTTTTTTAAGATTTTATTTATTTATTTGACAGAGGGAGACACAGCGAGAGAGGGAACACAAGCAGGGGGAGTGGGACAGGGAGAAGCAGGCTTCCCGAGGAGCAGGGAGCCCGATGCGGGGCTCAATCCCAGGACCCTGGGATCATGACCTGAGCTGAAGGCAGACGCTTAATGACTAAGCCACCAAGGGGTACTTGTTGCATTATTTCCTCAGGTTCTCTTCTAGATCTGGCATTGCTGGGTGAGATAAAGGGGTATGTGTGCATGTCTTAAGGCTTTTGATGTATGTATGGCTAGAAAGGTAACAACCAACTCTCACCAGTTAAGTATGAGCATACCGACTTCATGTATGTGCACCAATGTCAGGTGTAATACTTTTTTAATTTCCAATCTGGTGGGTAAAATAGTATTTGGTTTTAATTTGTTCAGTTTCTAAGGAGGATGAACATTTAAAAAATGTGTTAACCATATATATATATATTCTTGTGAAATGCTAATTCCAGGTCTTGGATCCACTTGTCTTTTGGCAAGCTTTTCTTTTTCTTAGTTGAGGGAAGCCCTTTTTATATTGAAGATAACAGCCACTACCCATTCTGTTTCATATCTTGCTGATATTTGAGGCTCTGTGGTTAGATTTTATTTTACTTTATTTTTGAGTAAGTAATACAAACATATGGGGTATGTAGTGAAGAGCTAATTGTGCGTCCTTTCAGAGATATTCCATATATACATGAACATATATGTGTACTTATCTTACTTTATTATTCAAATGTAAGCAGACTCTACACATTATTCTGCACCTATCCTTTTTTATTTACTAGTATGTCTTCAGATTGTTTCTTTTTCTTTTTTTTTTTTATTTCTTATTTTATTTTAAGTAGGCTTCACACCTAGCATAGAGCCCAATGCAGGGCTTGAACTCACAGCCCTGAGATCAAGACCTGAGCTGAGGTCAAGAGTCAGACACTTAACCAACTGATCCACCCAGGTGCCCCAAGATTGTTTCTTATCAGTACATGTAATAGTGCCTCTATTTATTAAGGGCAGCAGTTACAGTTCATTATAGGATGGACTATAATTTAATAGTCCTTATTGATGGGCACTCACATCATTTTTTTAAGTCTTTCACTATTTTTAAAAATTTTGGGGCACCTGGCTGGCTCTTTCAGTGGAGCATGTGACTCTTGATCTCGGGGTTATGAGTTAGAGCCCCACATTGGGTGTAGAGATTACTTTAAAAAAAAAATCTTTAAAAAAAGAATTCTAGGGGCGCCTGGGTGGCTCAGTTGTTAAGCGTCTGCCTTCAGCTCAGGTCATGATCCCAGGGTCCTGGGATCAAACCCCGCATCAGGCTCCCTGCTCCGCGGGAAGCCTGCTTCTCCCTGTCCCACTCCCCCTGCTTGTGTTCCCTCTCTTGCTGTCTCTCTCTCTCTGTGTCAAATAAATAAATAAAAATCTTTAAAAAATAAAATAACATAAATTCTATAATCACTATCCTTTATATGTAAATGATTTTATAAGCATTTTTAGCTGGATTATAAATCCTTATTGCATCTGAAATTTGACCACCTATTGTAGTTCTTTAAAAACTTTCCTGGCAAATTCATTTCCTGTAAAGAAAATAATAGTGTGACTGCATTGCATAATACAGTACACAGAGCACCTTGGTTTATTTAATCTTTATGAGATAGAGAAGGTAGTACTATCTCCATTTCCCAGATGAGAAAGCTGAGGCTATTCAGACCATAAAAGCAGAAAATATTGGGATTTATGCTATATCAGTTGCACAATTTGTAATACCCATTGCACAAGTGTCCCTTCCCCTAGGTGGTTAGATTATTTTGCTTGGAGTTTTTGCCAGCTGAGCTGTGTGTCTCTAAATTATCCACGATAAGGACTATTTCTTACCACATTTGTGCACACTTAAGGAAGGCAGATACAACTGTGGTTTTAATAAGGAAGCTAAAACTTCTGGGATAAAATAATATACCCAAGACCAAATTACAGATTTTTGGATTGTCATCTTAGTGTGGTGTTAATAGAGATTTGACTTGAGATCCTCAAAGCAGCATACTTTGTAAAGCAGTAACATGAGAATACCTCGTAGGTCAATAGGTTTGTTCTCCACGAGCTAACATCAAGAAATGGAAGAGGAAGACATCTGAAAAGCCAGAGATAAGATACCTATGATCCCAAAGGAAGTCCTGTTTTTTGTTTAAGATTTTTTATTTATTTTAAGAGATAGAGCATGAGCACTGGGAGGAGCAGAGGGAGAGGGACGAGCAGACTGTGCTGAGCGTGGAGCCCGATGCAGGGCTCCATCCCAGGACCCTGAGATCATGACCTGAGCCGAAATCAAGAGTCATATGCTGAACCGACTGAGCCACCCAGGCACCCCGGGAAGTCCTGGTTTAAAGGAAGTTTTATCCATCAGATCATCTGATTCTGTAAGAACATATATGGAGCATCTTCGTCTTCCCCTAACAAGCTGCTGCTTCTCAGACATAAATTGTACCACATCTTCTCTTTCTAAGCATCTAAATGTTGGAGTGCTCTGGGGTTTAGTTCCTGGACTCTCCATTCTCTTCCTTAGTGAGCCTTCAATGTGGCTTCAGACATCTTCAGCCACGGCTCTCTTCCAGCCTGGCCATTTTACTGAATTGCAGGGATTGTGCAATTGTGCGACTATGTGCCCAGATTATTAGGCACCTTAAAGTTAAGGTTGGCTGAATTCTCATTTCCCTGGCTAGCCGCCTCTGAGGCTTCCCCATCTCGGTAAATGGCCCATCCTCTCACTCCTTTGCTCAGACCGAAATCCTTAGGGTCATCTTTGACTCCGCTCTCTCATACCCTGCATTCATTAGCAAACTTTTCGGCTCTAACCTCAGAGTATATTTTGAGTCCAACTGCTGTCCCCCCCCCGCCCCCCAGATTTACTGAGGTAAAATTGACACATAAAATTTTAAGATATTTTAAGTATACATTGTGGTGATTTGATAGACATTGAATCTGACCACTTACCACCTAGACTAACATATAAGTCATCTGTCTTGTTTGGACTACTGCAATAGCCTCTCTTGCTGCCTTAGTTTATTCTCCACCCAGCAGCAGAGGTGAACCTTTTAAAATGTGCATCAGGTCATGATTTCAGCTCAGGTCATGATCTCAGTGTCATGAGCTGGAGCCCAGCATCAAGGCTCCACACTGCAGAGTCTGCTTGGGATTATCTCTTCTCCCTCTGTCATCCTCCCCCCCACACCCATGCAGTCACTCTCTCTTGCTCTCGCTCTCTCACTAAAAGAAATCTATAAAAAAACAGAATAAAGTCCAGTCCTTACTATAATGTACAGCCCTGTACTGTGTGAACCCTGGCTTCCCACAGTCTCACCCCCTTGCTGCTGCCTTTAGCCATGCTGCTGACCTTGCTGTTCCTTGAGAACACGTGTGAATCTACCTCAAGAGTCTTCACACTTGCTTTTCCTCATGGAATGTTCCTTTCTGCTCCCCGACTTCCACCCCAATTTGCTTGGGTAGCTCTAGGTCTCTGCCCAAAATAAGGTCATTCCTGACCATCGTATCCAAAATAGCAACACTGCTTCCCTCTATCCCTTTACCCTGCTCTACTTATTTTAACATTTAAAAAATTGAGCTAAAATTCACCCTTTTACAGTGGTACCATTTCAGTGGGTTTTAGTATATTCAGTTATTTTTTTTTAAGATTTTATTTACTTGAGAAACAACACAGGCAGGAGGAGGGGCTGAGGGAGAGGGAGAAGCAGGCTCCCCGTTTAGCAGGGAGCCCAATGTGGGGCTCAATCCCAGGACCCTGGGACCATGACCTGAGCCACCCAGGTGCCCCTGGTATATTCAGTTATGTATCATCACCCCAAAGAGACCCCATACCCAATTAACAGTCACTCTTCATCCCTCTGTGCCACCCTCATTCCCCACCCCTGAAACCACTTACGTACATTTTGTCTCTAAAGATGTGCCTATTCTGGACATTTCATATAAATAGAATCATACAGTATGTGGCCTTTTATATCTGGCTTCTTTCACTTAATGTTTTCAAGGCTTGTTCATATTGTAGCATGTGTCATTATTTCATTCCTTGTTTATGGTCAGTATTCTGTGAATCTACCACATTTTTATAATCCATCAGTTGATGGGCATTTGTACTTTACTTTCTGGCTTTTATAAATAATGATGCTATGAACATTAGTATACAGGTTTTTGTATGAACATATTTTCAGTTCTCTTGGGTATATAACTAGGCGTGGAATCGCTGGCTCATATTATTAATGTTTGACTTTTTGAGGCAATGTCAAACGGTTTTCACAAGCAGCTGCACTATTTTACATTCCCACCAGCATATGTGAAGCTTACAGTTTCTTCAAATGCTGTGCAAAGTTTCCTTTTCCTAACAGCAATTATCACTGCCTGACATACTGTATTCATTTATTACAGTCTGGTTCTTACACTAGACATCCGGCTCTGAGAACTGGGGCTTCTGTCTTGTTTGTTGCTGTAGCCCAGCACCACAAAGTTCCTGGCACAGAGTAAAGCACCCAAAAATATCTGCTCAATCCATGAAAAGAGTTCAGTAACCTTTTTTTTCACTTAACCACTTCTTTTGATCTTTGTGTTAACCTTTAGTTACCCAAGTAATAAATGGACACATTTTTTCCTGTAAAAACTTTAAAACATTATGACAGAGCAAAACTCCTTTTGAACAGTACCCACAGTCCTGGTCCTATTGCTCCTTCACTGTGAATCCTTTGCAGTATATCCTTCCAGACTTATGCCTATGTACCTATGTATGTAACAAAGTTGCAAAGGAGGAAAGTACATAGTTTGGGCTTTTTTTTTTTTTTACACATAAATTATACACTACAGGAACATTTTACAGCTTATTTACTCAACACTGCATTGGAGGTCTTTCCTTGCCAATATATATACCTCTACTTTTTTTTTTTAATCTTTTTTATTTTTTAATTTTTATTTTTTTAAGATTTTATTTATTTGCGAGAGAGAGAATGAGAGACAGAGAGCATGAGAGGGAGGAGGGTCGGAGGGAGAAGCAGACTCCCCGCTGAGCAGGGGGCCCGATGCGGGACTCTATCCTGGGACTCCAGGATCATGACCTGAGCCGAAGGCAGTCGCTCAACCAACTGAGCCACCCAGGCGCCCTCTACTTTTTTTAACTGCTACCATAGTGTTTTGTGGAATGTACTACCACTGTTTGTTTAGCTATTGCTGTTTTTAAAATCACAAGTAATTCGTGGAGTAACTAATTTTTGGAAAGCAGCATTTTTAAAGGTTTTTAAAGCTTATATCATGATACTAGATCGTCCAATAATACTATGATATCAGAGCATCCAAAGTAGCCACAAAGAAGGGGATTAATATTAGGGAAGTAGCAAATTTCAGTCCTGATTTTTATACTTCAAAGAATAAAATCAATTCCTCAGAAACATATAAAACAAAATTCATTTTAATGTCATGGTGGTTAAGTGTCAAGCTCAGTTACAAATAGAGTTTTTTTTTAATTCCCACAGCTCGGAACTTTTTAGACATTTAAGGATTATAATACAACAGTAGTCTTCCTGCCACTCTGAGGGATTCACTGAAGAGGCATCTCTGTATCACAATTCCCAAAGCATTTAATGAGCCTGCCATTTGGCATTGGCATTTACATACTATCTTATGCCTTTCTGGCCCTCGAAGGAGGCTGGGTCTTAGCCTTCTAAAAGATGCAGTAAAGATTAACAAGTATAATATCTTCTGTGTTTATGCTTCTGCATTTTCAGCATTTTCTTTCTCCTTCCCAGTTCTATTCGTTTATCTTGATGCCTGCTTGAAAATGTGAACTATTTTTGGACAGCCCATATTCATGCATAACTTTTTATTTAAAATTCTGGTCACAAAGTTTAGGTTCAAACATTCTGGAATTCCCATTTTTTCACTTTTGGGTTTGTGCCTAGTAGTCAATGCTTTTATAATGCCTTTGAGGCACTGGGTGCTGGGGGTTACCACTTATTCTTTGTTTTAGGATTTTTACTTCTTTCTTCAAAACCTGTACTTCTAGATTATCTTAACTAGACATTGTGTACATTTGTGTAAAATAATTTCTAGAAAAACAAAACAAAATCTTTGTTTTGTACTACTTCATCTCCAGTAGATGGCACCAAATACCCTTTAAAATTCATGATACTAATTTCTAGTTGTTGTTATTGGCTAATTGATAATTTCTTCCACCACCACCACCACCACCACCACCACCAGGGATTAGAAAGGGCCCATTCTTTCATCGAATTCTGTGATTGTTATATAACTTAGTATTTTTGTCCATGGTTTAAGATAAACCTGTTGGGGGGACCTGGCTGGCTCAGTTGGAAAAGCAGTCAACTCTTGATCTGAGGTTCTAAGTTCAAGCCCCATGTTGGGTGTAGAAATTACTTAAGAATAGAACCTTCAAAATTTTTAAAAAGGGGCGCCTGGGTGGCTCAGTCGTTAAGCGTCTGCCTTCGGCTCAGGTCATGATCCCAGGGTCCCCGGTCGGGCTCCCTGCTCAGCGGGAAGCCTGCTTCTCCCTCTCCCACTCCCCCTGCTTGTGTTCCCTCTCTCGCTGTGTCTCTCTCTGTCAAATTTTTTAAAAAAGATAAACCCGTTGGTATTTAAATTATTAATTTGCTATTTCTGACAACCTTTTTTTCCATTTTATGTAGTGGTTTTCAATCACATTGATTCAAGGGGAAGGATCATGGTATTGAAATAAGACTGGACTAAAAAAAGTTGTGGATAAGAGAGAAAGAATAAAGAAATATGCTGAATGTTCATGATAAAATCATAGAAAATATAAAAGTATATAAAGTCCAAATTTAAGATAATGAAGTGTTTTTACTATTGTCAGTTTTAGTACTTTAGTAGAATTGTATTTATTTCATTATGACTTTCAAATTTGTTTTACAAATAACTTGCAATTAAAAAATACTCATTAAATGGGTCGCCTGGGTGGCTCAGTCGGTTAAGCGTCTGCCTTTGGCTCAGGTCATGATCTCAGGGTCCTGGTATCAAGTCCCACGCTCCTTGCTCAGCGGGGAGTGTGCTTCTCCCTCTCCCTCTGCCCCTCCCCACCGCTCATGTATTCTCTCTCACTCTCTCTCTCAAATAAATAAATGAAATCTTAAAAAAAAAAACAACTTGTTAAAAATGTTATATCGCCATTCTCATTTCTAACTGTGCTTTCTTGAAAACCTTTATCTTCAGTGTATTAGCTTTCATAAGAAGAAGCTTTTAGATTCAATTAACCATTAAAACTAGAAAATGTTTCCTATACGTCAGGCATGGTTTACTACATTTATTCTACCTGTTAATTCTGTTGACTTTAATTTTAATGGATTTGTCAACCACTAAAAAGGACACCTTTAAAAAAATTCCCATCATGATTACATTTACAATGTTTTTCTTCCTTTACCCCCAGTGTTTGAGTGTCAGTGTTTGTGACTCAGTCTGGAAATCTATTTCTTAACTCTTGTTTAAGACATTGGTAGCATGGGCTGTAGGTGAAACAGATCTAGGTTCAGTCTCCATCATCTAAGGAAAGTCACTTAGCTTCTCTGGGTCTCAGTTTCCTGGTGTTCAAAATGTAGATAATTAACCTATCTAATTGGGTTATACTGAGGATTAGTGATAATGCAGGTGACACATAGTAAGCTATTATTTTCATATATTGCCAACAGTAAACTTTTTTAAAAGCTTTATGAAATATGTTCAAGCTTACCAAGACATTTATTCCTCCTTTTTAAGATGGAGATGTCAGTATATTAACAATGTAACTTGGCTCTCCGGATAGCTAGCTTTCATCTCAAAAATCTTGATAGGCTTAGGGAATAATCCTTAAATTTTTAGTTCTATATATTTCTATTGGTACTACCCCCCACACAAACACGATTTACAGACTTGGACAGAGGAAATTTTTTTGTTTTTTGTTTTTAATGTTTTCATCTAGAATTAAAAGGGAAGACTGTGAGAAATTTGGGTCAAAGAACCTCGGGATTCAGCCCCAGTCATTCTGTAGGTGCAGTAAGTTTTTGAGCTTTTGAAGCACCCCCTCGCGTGAGGGAGTGATTATGCCTGCCCTTGGGGTAGGGGTGCAGAGTGCCATAAAAGACGCGCAGGGCTGTAAACAGCCGCCCGATTTCACCGCTTTCTGAGGAAAAGAAGAAACGCTGGGCGGCGAGCATTCAACGCGAGCCAAGCTTTTTCCTTCAAGCCCCACAGCCACGTGGCGCCCGCCGGAGCCCAGGGCCCACCAGGTTGCCGGCGCCGCTCTCCCTTCAGAGGGATTCGCGGCGGGACCCACCGCCGCCCGGGTCCCGGGAAGCCTGGAACCTCTGGGACCGTGGCCGCCAGACCAAGGGCTCCGGCCCGGAACCCGAGCGGGACAGAGCGCCCAGGCGACGCGCGGTGCCAGCCTTCCACTCGAGGGATACCCGGCAGGCCCTCGGAACTTTTCCCCGGGGACAGGTCCAGGCAACAGGTCCGAGGCAGGGCCGGGATGGGCCGCACAGAGCCGAGCTCCACGGCGGCGGGTGAATCAGCGCCAGCGCCCAGGTCAGCCCTCCCAGCCAATGCCAGATCAGGGGAGGAGTAGCGGCGCCGCTGATCACCAGCCACTCAGGGCTCGCTGGACCCGGAGAAAGGTGACGTCACCGTAACTGGGAGGTTTCAGCCGGCTCCACCAATGGGAGATAGGCAAAGTGGCTCGCTTTCTGTAGCTCTGGGCCAATACTAACAAAGCAAAAGGGGGTTGTCGGTATAGAACCAATGGAAAACAGGGAAGGAGCACGAGGCGGAGTTGCGAATCCTGTCACCAATTGGAAAGGGGGGGTGGAGCCCGGGCCTTGTCAAGCATGACCAACCAGAGAGAGGAGCGGACTCTAGTAGGCGGGGCCGTAATGCTTTTCCCCAATCGGACAAGGTCAGGGGCGGGGCATTCTTTTGGGTGCCCAATGAGGAACGCAGCCGAAGCGGGCCTGTCAAGAGAAGGGCCTGGGGGCGGGGGGATGGTGAGTCGGAGATAAACACTCCGCGGCGGTGGCGGCTGCTGCTCTTCTTCGGGTTCTGTCACGGTGTCGGCGGTGCCCAGCTCACCGGACCCCCCCCCTTTCTGGAGAGCGTGGTAGCCAAAGAGGCTCTCTCAACCCTGCTCTGCGGGGTCCACAGCAGGGCGCGGGTGTCCGGCGGCGGCGGCGGCGAGCCCGTGGGCAGTGGGGGTTGGTCCCGCGGCTCCGGCCCCCGGTGCAGAATGGCGGCGGCGGTTCGGATGAACATCCAGATGCTGCTGGAGGCGGCTGACTACCTGGAGCGGCGGGAGAGAGGTGCACGGGGACGGGAGGGGTCCGTCCCGAGCCGGGGCCGGGGGCTCTGAGGGGCCCGGCCGCGGGGTAGGGGCGCCCAGCCGCTCTGGGGGTGGTTGGAGGCGCAGAGAGCGCGACCGCGAGCGCTCCCAACCCCTCCAGCTCTCCCCACGCGCGGTCCGAAGGGAGGCCGCCGCTGCCCCAAAGGCAATGAATGAGGGTGGAAAAGGGGCCGCTGCCCCCCGGAGTCCGGAGCGCCGCTCCCCACCGCAAAGCAAATGGGGTGCCCGGGGTCCCCTCGGCCAGGCCCTTGGTTTACCTCACCGGGGCTCGTCCTGACCGGCCCCCAAGTGGGCCCGGCGCCCGGTCTCCCAGCTGGAGGAGCAGCGATTCCCCTGCGCCCCCCCTTCCCCGCCCTCTGGGTTCCGGGTGTTTGCCCCGCACCTTCGCCCGAAGCTGGTCCCACTTAAAGCACGCCAACCTGCTGGACGTTGCCAGTGGGGAACCCAAGCTCCACGAGCTTAGCGACTTGCTGTGTCTTTCTCAACAATGAGCAGCTGGAATGCTCCTTACACCTGCTCCGAACTGAGGGTATTCACACAATTAAAAAAAAAAAAAACAATCATTGTTCTAAGAATTCCACCTTGCATCGTTTGTTTCTTAACACAATATTCTTTTAATGAAAAATAAAATTTAAAAAGGAAATACTGTGGAGGGGAGAGAGTATTGAATGTTCTAGGCTCATTCATTAACTGGATCCTTCGGTTTTCTAGAAGCTGAACATGGTTATGCCTCCATGTTACCATACAATAACAAGGACAGAGATGCCTTAAAACGGAGGAACAAATCCAAGAAGAATAACAGCAGTAGCAGGTAATTTGGTAAATATTTCTCTTTTTCTTTTAGATTATAGTGCAGATGATATGAACTGCAGAATGGAAGTTGCCTGTTGTGCTTATGACCCAGTAAATATGTTAAGTAGCAATCATGATTCAGTAAGGCACACATGGTCTTAAGCCATTGAGGAAGCAGCCCTTCTGTTTGGGTTGAGGGGACAGAAAAGAGAAATGGAAATGTTTTATATTTCTTTATGAACTTTTAAACTTAATTTTGCTTTTCTTCCCTTTTGGAACAAAAATCTCTGGAAACTTCCAGTGAAATTAGTAACAATGACAATATGTTGCCTTTAGAAGTTGCAGATTCAGGGCAGGTTTTTTATAATTGAAAATGCTGGACATTATCCATTTCTTTTACTTTTCATAGTGAAGATTTTATAAACATGTTAAAGTATCTGATTTAGCGTAGGTGGTAGGATTTCATATTTGACATGTAAATGAAATGCAGTGGTTTGTCTCAATCTGTTACATCTATTTATAATGGCAAAGAGGAACGATGGAGGTTAAAACCTGCCTTTTTGGTGATGGAGGATTAATATTAATATGCAACAGTCCTTTTATGTTAGCCTTATAGTTCTTAAAATCTGTGAATTTCACTGGGAAGTATGTGGTTAATGGTCAGTGAAATCACGTTAAAACCCTGACTATAGTTCCTGGTACCTATGAGTACTCTATTAATGCTACTGCTCCCTTTTTTCCTTCTTTGCCCTTAAAATATAAGTTAGGTAGGAAATCTGTTAGGTCTATTTACTTACACCTTTCATTCCAGTAAATTAAAGTCATTCACATTTTCATCACTGACTTAGAATCCTTATTCCTCCCTGCAGCTAACTGTATTTGGTTAGCCTCTGTGGCATAATACAGACCACTGAAAGCCAGGAGGTCCCACTTAAACCTAAAACTCACTTGTTCTTGCTGCTTCTATCCTTGATTCATCCCATTGTACTTAGTGTTGGTGGAACCACAGGATGTGAGCAGCACACATGTGCTGAGCTCTTGACTAAGAAGGCACGTGAGGGAGGCACCTAGTAATTAACTACCCTGTGGTTTTTCCTTTCCCTCCCATCTTTCACATTACCTGTGAAAGCTACCTGGTAGCTAATAGATCTGTGTGTGGGTATTAAGGGCCTATAAGAAGAATGTTAATACTTGTATTATGCAGTGGTATAAAATGATTTAGCTGTGTTGCATTTTGTTACAGTATTTTTAAGATTTTGTTTGGAAGAACTTTCAAGCCTTTTGGTTTATTTTTCCTGAAAAAGGTAGTCCATTTGTTGCTTTTACTTTTGTCCATTCATGATTTGGGACGAATTGTCCACCTTACTAGCCAAGGCTTAATCCTTAGCACTTTATTTTTCCCTAAGTTTCACAGGAAAAGTAAAGTTTTCTTTTCACTAAGTTTCTCCTAAGTTTGGAGGAGGTTTAGTGGTGGGGAGAGGAAGAGAAAGGGATGTTGAAAGAGAAGTAGGCTGGTCCCCAAAGGTGATTAGGAAAGAAAAATAATGATAATTGAGAACTGCAAGTCAAGAAACAGATTCTTTCTCTTTAATATCCAGTGTTATTATGGAAAAAATAGCTGTAACTTCTGAGTTTTGGAAAAGCTCTCTTCTGTTAATGGGCTTGGTTTGTTTTCCATGGTTTCAGACTGGAGGCTATCACGGTTTCTCATATTCTTGACTAATAATGAATTAGGGTAATATCCTCAGTGGTGCAAGGATCTCTGAGAGACCATGATTAAACCTGGAGATGGCACGAAGCAAACATGAAGCAAGAGCAGGTTGTTTTGTTTAAATGTGATCACTTCCTTCATGCCCTGTTTGGAATGACCCTTACCTGAGCAGTGAGACATCACCCCAGAGAATGCAGTTTGAACCCTTGATTTGAATTAGACTTCTCTCCAAGGCCATGTATGGTCAGGATTTTGAACTGAGGTAAGGGCGATGGAGAGATCACTGCTGGTTTACATAACCACCAGATAATAGTTTATTCTTGTTAATTCAGGTTGAAATGCTGTGCTCTTTGTAGAGTCAAGTCAGGGGGCTACTTTTCCTTGGACAAAAAAAAAAAAGATTTAGCCACATATCCAACTTCTTGGGAACTAAAAATGCAGATCCTAATCCAGTCTCTCTAGTTGCGTGTTTAAAAAACAAAAACAAATGAAATTGTGAATATTGATTGTTTCAGAATCATCCAGAGAACTACTGGAATACAGGGGAGGTGGAATCTTTTTTTTTTTTTCCTACGGGTTTTTGAAATCAGTTACTAATTATTTAGAACTGAAATCCAGAGTTTTTAAAGGTATATTTTGTAAAATTGCAAAGCAGGCTTTGGCACTCGTGAAAGAGGAAGTTCAGGACCTGCCACCTAGCTCTTTTATGCAACAGTGGCCATATAGCTGAGCTGACATGGAGAATCTTTTTGAACCCAAGAACTTTTTCCATTCTCATACACTGTAGTTTGGCTTAGTTATCTTTTTGTAAGTAGGCTCCACCTCCAGCGTGGAGCTCAATGTGGGGCTTGAACTCATGACCCTGAGATCAAGACCTGAACTGAGATCAAGAGTCAGACGCTTAACTGACTGAGTCACCCAGGCGCCCCTTGTTAGAATATATTTTTCAGTGGTGACATTTGACCTTTACCAGTGATTCCAGAGTTATCAAATCTTTTCAGTAACCACATGGAAAATAATTTTGACACAAGGTATCTATGTATTCTCATAATACTTTAATAATATAAATGTTTACCCATTAACAGTTGGCAAGCAATCTGATCGTTTTTGAAAGGCTTATTTTCATTAAAGACAAACTCAGTTTCAGTCACCCAAATGCACTTCAGTAATGCTTTAGCCATTAGATGTAAGTCCCCTTGTAAAAATCCCAATGTGTTAATACTCTTAAGTAATCAAATAAGATCTGTAGTTACCGAAACTATTCAAAGTCTGGAAGGAGTTGTCTGTCCTACAGAATTTGTTAAAAAGTTTATCTTGGGGATTCAGAATTTTTCTTATATGTATCTTCAAAGAATCCAGAAATTTTGGTAAGAGTGCCCTGTGTGCTATTTTCTATAATCAGAGATTATATTCTTTTCAAATATCCACCCTTCTCTCTTCCACCACCTTCCTGGAATGGTCCTTGCCTACAGTTAAACGGGGAAATTCTGACCAGCTGCTATCATATACTTTCATCCATTTAAAAGACTTTGAACTTGTTATTCCCTGTTAAAACTAAAATGCCACGTGCTTTAAAGCCAAAGGTTTGTAGTGCAGGCCTGACTCTTGTTAACTGTGATAGCCTGCCGGCCATTGCAGGAAGTAAACCTTCAGGAAAATGTAACTGAAGAAAGTTGAGGGAAAACCAAGTGAATCAATGTAAAGCTTTTAAGGTAACCAATTTTGGGGTCCTTTACCTAGAAAACAAATATTCTAAAACTTAAAATACTGTCATTATTTTCTTGGTTTTTCTCGTTAATAAAAATCGGTGTCCCAAGAGCCTTGTGGAAGAGAAGTTTTATTGCTGGATTGGAAATTTCTCATTCCAAGACTATAAACCCTCCACCACCCTTCTCTCTGGGGCGAATGAACTTGGCAGTGGTTGCCCCCTGATATAAATGAGTGGCGGAGCATTCACAGAAGTCCTGTTTCTCCATGATTACTGTTGAGAATTCCTCTGTAGGCCCAGGAGGGTTCTGGCCTCAGCCAGGGTGTTCTCTCCTGAACGGGTGAGATTCCAGAGAATTTCCATTAAGAAAGGTCAAGATTGAGCTCCTTTATAATGCTGGGATGTTCCTCAAGTTTATAATCAGGGAGGAGTTGTGTGAGGACGACACAGTAGTGGCCATATTGACTGACTTCCTGTGACTTCTATGGAAACCTGTCCATAAATTCTTAGACCAGACCTTATATTCAAGGTCAGCTATAAACACTTTAATAATAGGATTTCACATCCACCATAGCTTTCGTCCAAGGCTCTCTAATAACTTTTACAGTTGCTACCTCCTTGATCTATGTGTGTTCAGTAGATAATTGACAATAATTTTTACTCCCATTTTACAGAGGGGTTAAACCAAGGACAAGATGGTAAAGAATTTTATTCTACAGTACCAGTTGTTGGCAAAGCTAGACTTCACATTTCACCCTCACTGTGGCTTTCACCAGTCTGTATCGTCTTTATGTTGAGCTAAGTTTTAGAAGCCCCTTCCTGAAATCATTTGGGAGCTGTTCACCAGTAGCGTTTTGCAGGAGGTTGTACATGATCAAATAATTACGTCAGGGAGTAGAAAGATTGAGGGGAAAAAGGATTATTTTTATCCACTTAAAATTGTATCCTATTGTTAAGCAACTTAGCATAAAATTTTGGCATATCTACTACACCTAGAAAAAACTGCAGGACTAGGAGGAGGTGCCACCTCCACTCTTCTACCCTCAGCCTGAAGAAAGCTTTGGTGTTCTATAACCTGAATTCACATCACATGGCACAGCTGTTTTTCTCATTGTATAAATAGGCCCCTTTTATTTCCTTTCTTCAAATGGATTACATTTCCACTAGGGATTGCATGTCTCTTAAGTTTGTCACTTCTCCTTGAACTCTATTTTACATATTTACATTTACCTAACTCCTCAAAGGAACTGATTTCTTTAGCAGATCCCACTGAGTTTTTCCTCCCTTTCTGTTTTCTCTCCTACCAACTTAGGAGAGAAAGAAGTTAAAGTAATTGTATTGGTGCTGAAATAGTTCTTTAAGACAAGAAGAATCTTACTGTTTTCTTATTGTTCCCTCTTTCAGATCAACTCACAATGAAATGGAGAAGAATAGGTGAGTTGGGGATTTTGGGGGTGGGTTGGGGGTCCTTTTGATGTAGTCCCTGATCTTAGAGACTTGAATGCTTTTCGTGGGCTCTTTCCACAAGTAACACCTGATGTAAGAGTTTCCTCAGGCCGACTAAGCAGCACTGCCCCTAAATCACTCAGGTAGATAAAGGGCTTGCAGGTTCCAGAAACCACACCCCCAACCCTCACTCTTGCAACCCACTCCTCCTAAGGAGGGCCTTCCTGGGTGACTGTTTCACAGGCCAAAGCAGTTTAGGTCATGAGCAGTGTTTCCACAAATAGTGTTTTTAAAAAAAATTACATGCTACTGAATATAATTGGTAGTTCTGTCTTAAATCATGTACACACCCAGATATATATAAATACACATACATATGTGTATTTACAGTTTACTTGTGAAGATTCTCAAAAATCAGGCAAATATATGCATAGCACAAATTGGAGATGGTGATTCACTAGAGGAGGTCTGCCACCCACCCTGGGATCCATCTGGCTTCCTGAGTTGATCTCTATCACCTGGATTGCCTCTTGCTGTTTGTTTAAATCTTTATTTTCTAAATCTGGTTTGCCCCTCCTTCAGCGATGTAGCCTAGTGGTTCTTGACTCTGGTTGTACATTAGAGTCACTTGCAAAGCTTTTATTTTAATGTTTTTTTTCAAAAATATTTTTGTATTACACACATGTATACATCTGAGGAGAAGGAACAGATTTTATTTCTGCCAATTTTATAAAATAACATACAAATCTTCAAATATATGAGAACAAATAATGTAATCAAGTCCTATGTGTCCATTACCCAGCTTCAACAATCAACATTTTGTTAATCTTGTATAATCAAAACAACCCCTCTGCATGGAGTATTTGAAAGCAAATCTTTTATCTCTAATAAAGACTTTTTAAAAAACAACCACTTTTACCATGGTGGGTGGGGGGTGGAAATAGTACTTCTTTGTGGAGCTTTAAAATAAAGAAAAAAAGAAACCAATGCCCAGACCTCACCCCTAGCAATTCTGATTTAATTGGTTTGGGTTGAGACTCTGCTCTAGTATTTTTTTAAAAGCTCCCCAGGTGATTCTTATGTGCTGCCAGGGCTGAGAACCATTGAACAAGCTTCATTCTGGTCTCCGAGCTCTCATCAATTTGAAATACGGGCTACCCATTCAGATTGAGTGGCTTTCTCGGTGCTCTGCATGAACAAGATGATGTGTAATGATGGTTCTGTAAATACATATGGTTATTTCATGCAAACCTTCTTTGAAGAGGGAGCCTGACTCTGAAAGTCAGGATCTGAATGACACTTTTCATCCGTGAAAGGGCAGACCTACTAGGAAGGAGAATGTTGGAACAGGGTGAACATTTAGCATGACTCCGCTGAGGAACTCTGTGTGTGCGTGCATGTGCCTCCCTGCACACGTGCTTCTCCCCATCCCTCTTCTTCCCTTTTACTTTCTCTGATTGTGACTGTGGTTGAAGTCAAAGCTTCATTTTTGTTTTAGGGATTTCCAGATCATGAATTGGGAACTCGAAAGTATCTTTTAAGGTGGAAAGGTAATCAGATGTGGCTTCTCTTTCTCATCTTTAGATTCTTAACTTTCTGCCTTTGGGGTGAACTGGGTAAACTGGGATTCTTTCTGCTGAAAAGTCTTCTAGTTCTTCTCCCGCACCTTACGTAGGCATTTATTTTTTTATTATTCCATTAGACACTCATTTTTGTTATTAAAATTTTACCCCTTCAGGCAAGGGCTCTTTGCACTTACTACAACTTTATGCCTTTTACCTCTGCAAGAATGCCACACAATGTCAGTTTTACCTTTTAGCAGTTCAGGGGTGTTTATTTTTGCCTACAGTGTCTCAAGAACTTGCACTCAGTACTAGGTATTAAACGAGTTCACACTGGGGGTATTAAATCAGAATGGTCCCCTTCCTAGAGAAATGTTGTCTAATGGGAAAGATGCAGAGACAGTCTGAATGAATATGCTATGGCTCAGATTGAGGTATACATGAGAGGCTATGGAGGCAAAGAATCTAGAAAACTGGATTTGGAGTCCCCACTGGGCAAGCTGCTTTTAATTCAGACTGCTTCCATGTGACCAGTCAACTTTTGCTCGCTGAAGAGTTATCTAGTTTCCTTATTGTCCTTTCTTTTTTGGAGTTCGGTCTTTTTTTTTTTTTTTTTTTTTTTTTTTTTTAAGATTTTATTTATTTATTTGAGAGAGAGAATGAGATAGAGCATGAGAGGGGGGAGGGTCAGAGGGAGAAGCAGACTCCCTGCTGAGCAGGGAGCCCAATGCGGGACTCGATCCCGGGACTCCAGGATCATGACCTGAGCCGAAGGCAGTTGCTTAACCAACTGAGCCACCCAGGCACCCCTGGAGTTCGGTCTTTTAAGGTCTTGATAATTCTTTCTCTAGTCCAGAGCATGTGAACAGAAAAGAGGGAAGTAAAGACTCAAATTTCTTAATTTAACCAAAATTGGTTGCTGCAGTCCAGGGGAGGGACTTAAAGTTGCCCAGCTCTTCTCCCCTTATGAGTGTAGATGCTTAAGAATCTTCGGGTTTTGAAGTCAGTTCAACAGCTGCTCTTGTAGTCTCCCTGGTTTTAGTAGTTGACGCCTATAAAACAATCCCACTTTGCTAAGTGCATATACACTTTAGCCATTTTTTACCTTAAAACATCACATCAAAAGATTGACATGGCTCTCAAAAAAACAAAAAAACAAAAACTTAGGGAAAGACCTTCTAACAATGGGAATTTGTTTTCCTCTTTGAGATTGCAGAGTTGATTATACTTGGGTTAGATTTTTAAACAGAAACCTTTTCTGTGGCACTTTAGAGATTCTGAGTAATTGGTGTTCGTTAGGACTCCACAAAGAGGACCATATACTCAACACTACCACTTTAATATTCTTGGTGTTGGTAGGAACATACCCCACCTCCACCATTCTAGAAGGCTTGTATTTTCCATTCTCTAGATGAGGCATTCATGGAGCACTGAAGATGCTGTGTCCTAGGTGCTGGGAATACAGAGCCTGATGAAGCCCAAGCCCCTGGGGTGAAGGATTCAGTTCATCATCATAGATAGGAGCATCTGTCACTCGGTCTGTGCTTCTCTGAACTGTAACTGGTCATTGTGGGTCTAGCCTCTTAAGGAAACACTTTGAGTGTGCAGTTTTTCTTTTTAAAACTAATTTTACAGGGATGCCTGGGTGGCTCAGTCAGCTAAGCGTTTGCCTTCGGCTCAGGTCATGATCCCAGGTCCTGGGATCAAGTCCTGCCTCAGGCTCTCCTCTCAGGGGCAAGTCTGCTTCTCCCTCTCCCTCTGTGATCTCTCTCACTTTTGCTCTCTCTCACTCTCAAATAAATAAAATCTTTAAAACAAAAAACCAACTAATCTTACAGAAAATCTTGAGAAATATAGAAAGTCTTTCTAAAAACAATTTAAATCATCCATAATTCTAGCTGCCAGAGGACAGCAGTGGAACTTTGAAGTGTATCTCCACAGTTGTTTTTGGAAAATAAAAGTATAGTTTAGTGTAGAAAATTGGGAAGTTCCAAAAAGCACAAAAAAATATAAAAATCACCTGTAATAGATCTTGCAGCAGTAACAGCTGCTAACATTCCTGCTAAGTTCTGTATCCATCTAGACTTTTGTGCATACTTTTTTTAAGTCAACATGGGATCATAGAGTAAATAATTTCTATCTTCGGGGTGCCTAGGTGGCTCAGTCAGTTAAGCATCTGCCTTCGGCTCAGGTCCTGATCCCAGGATCCTGGGATTGAGTCCCACATTGGGCTCCCTGCTCGGCAGGAAGCCTGCTTCTCCCCCTCCCGCTTCCCCTGCTTGTGTTCTTGCTCTCGCTGTCTCTCTCTGTCAAATAAAATCTTTAAAAATAATAATTTCTATCTTCTCAAGCTACATTATGAATATTTTCCCATGTCCTTAAGTCTACTTTTCTAACATTACTTTTAGTGAATACCCTGTAGTATCTCATATGGATGTGCTGTAACTCATATAACCAATCCCGTTTTAGGTTCTTCCCGGTATTTGGCTAATATAAACAATACTTCCTTAAACTACCTTGTAGATAAATCTCTGTCCAACACCATAATTATATCCTTAGGGTAAATTTATAGTTGTGGAAATAATGATATACACATTGTGGTTTTCGATGTTGACTACTGGATTGCCCACCTGGCAGGTTACAGGTCTTACACTTAACAAGGTGTTAGTATAATCTAAGACCTTCATGAATTTGATACATAAAAAACAAAAGCCGACAACTTGTTTTAATTTGCATTTTTTACATTACTAGCACAGTCAAATAATTTTCTTTTCTTTGTGTGTTTGTATTGCCTGTTAATAATCTCTGCCCAATTTTCTACTCAGGCGTTTGTTTTTTTTCCTTATTTTGAAAAGATGATATAATATGAAGGATATATATGAAAGAGATCACCCCTTTGAGTATCATATTATTGTCCAGTTTATCATTTCCTTTAAGAGAGTCCATTTTCTCTCACTGTTTGAACTTGCTGCTTCTATTGTATATTAAATTCTTGTTTGGGGCGCCTGGGTGGCTCAGTCGTTAAGCGTCTGCCTTCGGCTCAGGTCATGGTCCCAGGGTCCTGGGATCGAGCCCTGCGTCGGGCTCCCTGTTCGGCGGGAAGCCTGCTTCTCCTTCTCCCTCTCCCACTCCCCCTGCTTGTGTTCCCTCTCTCGCTGTGTCTCTCTCTGTCAAATAAATCAATAAAATCTTTAAAAAAAAAAATTCTTATTCATGGCTAAGTCTGTTTCTAGACTGGTTCTTCTATTCCACTGCTCATCTGCTCTGCTTTTCCTGTGCCAGTGAATATTGTTTCGGTCATTGAGGTTTTATCATGCACTTCAAGATCTGGTAAAGCAAATCCCTACTCCTCCCTTCTCCTTTTTTTTTTTTTTTTCCATATTAGCTATTTTCACTAGTTTATTTTTCCCTATGAATTGTATAGTC